GTCCTATAGGCAAAACGTTATATCAACACTTGTGTTCTTGGAATGAGTCTAAGACATATCTTGGGTGTCTCACTAATTCCTTAAGCCAGTTGAACACTGCAGCCCCACCACCAGCAATTCGTTGTACTGCAGCATGAAGATATGGATACACTAAATCAGGATGACTGCACGACATGCAGTGTGTGGAGGATCTGATCTCAAGTGGCCCAGGACTCGTCTACATACCCCAGCAGGCCTAGGCAGTAGATCTGCTCCTCATCGATGTTCACTCCTCACGATTCAGCAAATGGAGGAAATTAAGTGAGCATCAGGTTCTACTGGTTGAGCAAAAACCTGGGGAACTGAACTTGGAACCCACCGCAGTACCTGTTGCTTGGCGAAAATAAACGGGTGTGGATGGCGAAATGGCAATCCGTGGAGGCCACAGACTTCTTTCCAAGCTTTTTAGGGATCCACTGCCACCCTCTGAAGTGATTGGAACCTCCGAGCCACATAAAAGGGTCTCCAATCACCGTACCTCAAAGGGTGGCAGTGGATCCATTATTTGTTTTCATTTGTGAGTTATGAGCCGCTGGAAAGATCTGGCACCTTGAGCAGGGAAATGGTGGACCATGAGGAGGAGATTTCAAATTAAGATTTCACCAAACTGATCGTGCGCTTGTCAGGCATTATCAAACTTGGTGTAAACGGACCTCAACTCTGCCAAGAGACTACTTGCCGCATCAGCAATCACTGCCCGGGTATAACCTCAGGCAAAAGATTCTCAAACTTTGGACATCTGTCAGCTGTGGCTTTGCACCAAAAAGAACTCCATTAGACATGATCTTTCCACCAGGTTGCTTCCCAATGCCACCGAGCTGCTCACGTCGTCCGGGCGGCCGGGCAGCGCAGCTGAATGAAGTCCCACATTCAATGCCAAGCCCTCGGCAAATCAAATCGGGCCAATTGAAGGGATTCAACTTATTCAACGGCAAATCAGGAGGCTACTAGGAACAAGAAGCTACTAGGGGCTCCTGACATCGCTACTAGGAGCAAGGACGCTACTAGAAACATGACAACCCACTTGATAGGAGGATGGAGGAGGTAACAACCCTGGTCGCCCTGAAGTCGCCCTGGCCGAATCTTGGACTTTGCATGGTGACATTGAATATCTGTTGGTGCTAGAGCGGATATGGGGTCATCCTGGTCAACCCCTTGTGGCCCTATCTAGACCAAACAAAAAACCAATAAAGGAAAGCGAGAATGCGAACCAACTACTCATATTTCTGGAGGCCGTTCCTTGTGGAGAAAGCAATGGAGACATCCCCACCAATAGCTTCAGTTTGCGATTCTTTAAGGGCTCACATGTCGACACTCTTGCGCAAAGACAAGTCACTGTGAAGAATAGGACCTGCTGGCCACGACATGTATTAGGACCTTGAGTTTCCCAAAGATCGCTGTCACTATAAGGAATCCATCAGCGGGTTTTTAGGCCGTCGGACATCATACCGAACGATTCCACGTCAATGCCGCCAGGGCCGTCAGGTCGGCGGCGGACTCTGAGTCCGTCCGAGGAGCGACTCCTTCCAGCACGGCCACGGCCACGACGTGCTTCTCCGCCAGGCCTCGGACGCCGGCAGAGTCGGACGTCGCATGGGCCGTCCTTTACTTTGTCTCACTTTCTGAGGATTGAGGATCAGATGAAACCAGCAGAATCTCTAGAAGGAGACATGGGTCCGGGTACGAACCAATCAACATACAATGCCCAAGAGGCCGCCCCATCTCTTTTGTGAACAAATCAAAACAGACTCAATCACAGCCTTATATATAACTTGAGGTCTTCAAAACACACACGCTGATCTCAAACCATTGAACCTGACACATTCAGACTCGAATTGTCCTTCAATGCAATAGAGCAAACCTGAGCAACGTTGAACATAACATTGTTTCTGACCTTGTGACCCATTGGAATGTTGTTCCGTCTCACACTCTTGAAATTCTTCAGCGTCACGAACAGTTCACGCAGATCAGGAGTGCAGCAAAAATCTAGCAACAACGCTGACTCCCCTCCTTTCAGTCACAAGTCAGTCTACATAGACACAGGGAAAGCATCACTATCCTTGACCAAGACGTCTTTATCTGCCATCCTGAGCTGGAAACTGAAGACAGGTACTTCGATTAATTATGGTGGATGTATGATGATTTGTGCAGATGCTTTCAGCAAAACAGGGTACCCCCAAATCTGGTGAGGAACAGCATGGCAAACGCACACCCTCCGACACAAATATGGAGTCCCGTTGTCCGTTTGTCGATCGGTACAAACAAGTCTATGATGATATGGCCTAACATCTGCCGGTCTTGCAATATTTGAGTCAAAATGCTCGCCACAGAGCCGAGTGGCGTGTCACCTCCACAATACTCAGCATGCCTCAGTGTGGACTTTTTGAACTACCCATGGCGTTTTGTGGGGAATTCACATCCCAGAATCCCGGTAGGGAATTCACATCCCAGTGTCGCCAAAGGTCTTTGGGAGAGGACGGACCAATGCAGTGTGGCAAAGCCTGAAATGGTCTTGCAAACTTGCAAACTCCTTGCTTTTGCCAGGAGTTTGTGTTTGGATGCAAAGCCTCTGGTCGGTCTGCAGCACATGGCTGCTGAAACATCACTGAAACAGGTCATGTATACATGCAGGTGCTGCGGACCAACAGTGACATGTGTTGCAAAGGGTACCAATCTTCCGAAAACCTTGAAACGGTGAAACAACATACCATCAGGTGAACGAACATGATCTTTCCAACCACGAGTTGAGACAGGAGACATTGCTTTCGAGCAGTACATTTGTATCCAAGAGTGTACACAATTCTAGTTTCGGCAAGGAGCCCCAGGATATCTTGCGCTTTCTCATGTTTTCTTATTAGATCTCATTAGTATTCTGATGTATTCTGTATTCACTTTTAGCAGGTCGGATTTCATGTCTGAGCAAAATGCAACAAAAGTAGACCCATTACCTTCCCTCTCTGGTCGTCTCCAATGACAGCACCTGGCAGGCACATCCTGCAGCCCAGCCACTTAAGGCATCCACATTGGTTCCAGGGCAAAGCAACCAAAGGGGCAAGGATCTGTTGGCCTTGGAGACAGGTGCCCTGCTCGTGTCATGTGTGGTAAAGTGATGTAGAGTGATGTAAAGCGAGTATGTAACTATAATACGCATGTCGATCGTAAAGACATGACGTTTCTTTGGGCAAAGCTGTGATTAATACTTATATGTCTTCCACACTGTCACAACAAAGGTAGCCGACACCCTGTCACTCAAAGCATCCACCCCCAGGCCTCATACTCCTCCAAATGCGGGGCCTCAAAATTGGTCAACAATCTCAAAAGCCCCCTCCACAAATTGTGTTATTGCTCCTCCACCAACCTGATCTTTATGTGCAGAACTCGTTTAGATTCCATACCCACGTGACCTCCTTCCTCCAGCAGCAGTCTAGTTGATATCAAACTCTTTATGACAAGGGAGATCAAACACCCTGTCACATCCTCTATTCCAGGTAGTAGGACATTGACGAGGCAGCAAAGTCTGAAGTTTGCAGGTTCAACTGTCAATTTGTCCATGATAGTTCGCATGGCTCAATTTCCACTCCAGGCCACATAGAAAACTGTCAGGCACCTCCTGCTTCTATGATTCAGCTATATAAATGAATCATTCTATCGGTCAAATTGTCCAGCGCCCTTTGAAATCGGTCATCCGGGTCATCTGTGTTCTTACGCCAGACCGGATTCGACTCTCAGACCGGTAGGCCTCCGGAGAGATCCCCGGAGATTGCTGGGAATTCTGAGACCCCCAGGCAAACAGGAGATACAGCCTCTCCGCGCCTTCGTGCTGCCTGATGCCAGGGTTTCATGTGGTCTTGCGATAGAAGGGAAACCAAAGTGATGAAATGCGTTGAAGAACTGCTGGTCATGAGGGGTGCATTCCACAGTGCAAGTGGATGCACAAGTGACGGGCCCAGCAAGCTAATTATATTGAATCAGCCACATCGCAAATACATATAATACATCTTAACTTATATGTTATATGTGATATATATATATATGTGGTATATGTCTAGCAATGTCACAATGTATAGCATATATGTATAACATATATATATATGAGTAAGTATATGAGTATATCATATATGACATATTTGGTAATACATGCCAATATGGATCTGCTGGTCTTCGATAATAATGATATAAGCTGGTGACTCATTTGGTGACTCTTAGCTTCGCAGCTTCCCCTTGAGACCTGATCCAGCTGCCCCTCGGCTTCGGGCCAGCGGCGAAACTCCAGCTCATCACGTGAAACTGCCTCCGCAGCGAAAGTCGTCAGATTGTTAGTCTGAATGACTGGTGCCTCTCTGAGAATCAAATCATGTTTGGGCAAAAAAAACACGGACACGTGTGTTCTGGCGTTCTGTTTTGGGACACGCCATAACATCTCTCCATGCCCTGCAACCCAACAACCAAAACACATCCAACAGCGCTCTCCCGCCTCACATGGAAAATGAAGTCCGAGGCAAAGTATTGCCCATGCGATGCGCATGGACAAGTCCAAATGGATGAAGTAGGGACCCCTTCAAACTTTAACGTATCAATGTGGCTGTGAAGGGTTGGTCTGGTGGAATTGAGAAGCCGATCAAGTATGTTCAGAGGTCTGGCTCGTCTGACTAACAAAGGTTCACGATTTTGGTGCTCTTTCCACTGAGTTCTATTTGGGATATATCTCACTATATATATATATACAATTATATATATATATATACACACTCGTATCTACTCCTTGAACCGGACAGCCAACGGCTCACACGCCGTTGGATTGCCGTCGGGACCGGACTCGCGACTCAAAAAGTTCTTCCGTCGGAGAGGTCAATACATTCATTCCCAAAGAGAGGATGAGTTCAGGAGACTGGAGGAGCCGTTGGTGTTGGCCCTTCATCGCATCTGCAGCGCTTCTGTTTCAGTGACCCTTAGGGGCCAGCAATCACAGCTGCATGCGGCGGTTCTCGCAAGGCCTGGGCATGGAGTTTTTCCAACGGCAACCATCAACCAACATGGCGTGTAATGACCCTCTCAAGTCTGAATATGTGTGATGTGATATGTGTTGGTGGCACTGATGGTGAAATTTTGTTGAGAAAACGTTGGGTAATCTACTTCGTACAGCTTAGATGCCAATCCACCAAGCTCACCGGCGGCTGAGGGCCTGTTTCACATCCTCCAGGATTTCTTCGACTGGTAGGGCCTCCAATACATCAAATGTAATGAAAGCTGATAGTGCTACTCACCAACTGACCTGAATTCATCCTGCCTATATAAAACTATTGTGCTAGCTGCTAGCAAGTAAAATCTTAAACTTCGAGTTTCCAGGGGGGTCCTGCAGCAGTTGGGGCATCCTATTTATATGCTGTTGATGCAGGCGCGGCTCACACAGTTCCAATCCTGTATAATATGTATGCATATGCATGACACCTGGCCTTTTGTCGTACTCGTCTCTGACTGAATCGCGCACCATGAATGAACCTCGGATGGGGGACTTTCAAATGATGCATCAAGGTGTGACGGAAGGTCTGCTTTTCTGTCAAGTTCGCTAGCTGCTGAAGCACTCACATGTTCTGCAAAATACACCTTCAGTAGATCTGTTGCTTCCAGTCCAGGTCACAACCAATGGAATCCCAAATATTGGAAGTATGCGAAGTGAGGACCTGGGACCGTTGCTGGTATGTACTTCTGCCTTCCATGCTCGAATTAACAGTATCAGTTCGTGATTGGTCCTCTGGGAGCCTTGTTCAAAACACAACCCCCCAAAAAGGTCTCTAGCCATTCTCCGTGGAGAGTTTCTCGTCTAAAAACGGCAGAATCTCGAACCCCCAAAAATTGAACCCTGCATGGTAAATGTTCAAAACAAGTCTGGGATCAATGAGAACATTCGACAAAAGGTCCAAACATCCGAGGTCAGTCGCCCTTGAGCAGCCAAGTCGCCCAAGCAGTGAGAAACCCCTCGTGAAACCACGCTGGCCGAAAGGGTGAAGAGGCTGCCTCAAAACAGCGGTGGAGAAAGGTCAGTCTGGTCAGTGACTGTCAGTGGTTGTGAAGCAGTCAAAGGGTTATAAAAATGTATAGGAAAACTCCGAGTTTGTAACGTGTACAGAGTAGCTTCCCCTACCTGGGCTTCCATGCTAAAACTGTGGCAGATCAACAAACACCATTTCACTGCATTGTATCGATGTGCATGTGACGGTGTGGGAAACAGAAGAAAGGACCACTTCCCAGGCCGGCCACCAAACAGTGCTTAGCACAAAATTTCGAGTACCAAAACGCCCCATGATTTTCCACGGCCTTTGAGATTTTGGCCAGGGCTTTGGCTATCGGATGAGAGATGTTTTATAACAATAGAATACTTTCACTCTAAATATGTACCGTTTAACAATGATCAAGTTTCACCAATTCCAAACAAATAACAGTAGAAATCCTAAACCAATAAACTCTATTCGCCGCCTAATTATCCCTAGTTGATTGGTGGGGAGTGGAAGATGCGTCCTGGTACTATACCAAAATAATCCAATCAGTACAAAAAGGATACACCACAAACACCAAAAACATCCAAAAACCACTCCCTGCAAATCACATCGCAATAAACCATCGTTATACAATTGTAGCGGGCCTTCCCATCACACCTGCCACCAACCCGGTCCCCACCTGGTCCGTGGTTGCCCCTTCGCCGCATGTGAGACGCCTTCGCAGCCACCTGCGGCTGCGACGGTCATCGGGCGAGTCGTCGTGGTGAATCGATCTGTGCCCCACGTGTTTTCAGCACAGAATCCCATGAATATATTGTGCAAATACCCATTGTTTTTGGCCGGGTTATATACATCATTATCCAAGATCGTATGTATATTATATATTGGCAAGTTCATGTTGATCAAGTCAAAACATGAGAATCTGGTGCCCAGCTGCAATGGGGTTAATTTCCATTGGGGTTAATTTTCGGGCAACAACCTTTGTTGTCGAAAAGAAGCGGGTTCCAGGCCGCAAAGAAAAGGATTCCCCGCACGTTCACCAGTGAAGAGCTCTTTGCGGCAACATCGGACAAGCTTCACTTTTGCTGAAATTGTGGAGCGAATGAAAGGACTATCATTGAGCTATGGGCCGAACTAAAATGATGGTATATGATTCAGGTGCACGAGGACATCTCTCAATATTATGATATATAATTGTTTACAAGACTTGAGAGAGGAGGGGGTGAACGAAAGGTAGCAGGCAATCACAAGCAACCCTGGTAAAAGTCCATGACGGCGTGAACCGGCGCAGGGGGGATTTGATCCAGGGGGGCCCCCCCTGAAAAGTAGAGCCTACCTGTACAGGGTTCCACTCCAACAGCTGATATAGTGTGTCCATGCTTGACTGCTTCAAGGCTCAAAGAGCAAGAGGATAAGACTCTGCGCATAAAAGACACTAGCGGTCTGCACCTCTACCGTGTACGCCCTAGTCACTCTTTCAGTGGTAGCGGAGCAGTGATCCTGGAAGACCCAGGTGAGCTCCTTTCCTAGGCATAGACTTGCTAGTGGGCAAACAGCCATGGATTGGATAGACGACTGGGAAGAGCCTGATGCGGATGTGGCTTATGAGCCAGCAGCCTACGTGAATAGGCATGTGAGAAGAGAACCAGCAGCAATAGCAATGACAACACAGGTCACTACAAAGGTGCCCCCATCTTATGATGGAAAGACTTCATGGTTTTCCTATGAGGATGCCATAGACGATTGGTGTGATATCACCGAGCTGGAAGATGAGAAAAGAGGACCAGCATTGAGAAACAGATTAGAAGGAGAAGCAGCTGTATACAAGCGTGTTTTAGACAGAGATGCATTGAAGGCAAATGATCCACCAGGAGCCGGCGTAGAATATTTCAAACGAGTACTACGACCATATTTCGTGAAAGGATCAACCAATGTATTCCTGTATAGGTTCATGCAATTCGTGCGCTTCAATCGAGGATCAGCTGACATGATGAAATGGATGACAAGATTCCAGATTTTACTCCAAAGGCTTATGAGCAGTTGGATGGACATGTTAGAACCAGTCACTCAAGCACATCCACAAGTCCTAGCTCAGATGCAGGCAGATGCAGCGTTGACTGGAGTAGCACCAACGGCAGAAAGGATTCAGGAAATCATGCAGACCATCAATGGCAATATGAGGACTTTTCATCAGAACGAATTTCCTCTAGGAGAAAATCTCATTGCCTTACTCATGCTGTCACTTGCAGATTTGTCTCAGGACCAGCGAAACACTTTGACTTCATTGATGACTCATCGTGGCAGGGTCCTGCAGCAGTATACTACAACAGAGTTGAGGACAGTGTTCATCGAGATGTTCTGCACAACAAAGACTTCAGTAGACAATCCTTTGATGCAGCCGACAGGTGCTGGAGGTAGAAGATCATTTCTCGTACTAGACGAAGGAGAACTCGATGGTACATTTGGCTATTGGGCCGAAGATGATGAAGATGGAACTGAAGGATTTTTAGATGCCCTGGACGATGTCTTTTGGGTATATGATGATCAAAACTTCTCATGGTTCCAAAGGAGATTCCAAGGAAGAAGAGCCAGAAAAGGCAAAGGAAAAGGTAGAAGAAAAGGAAAAGGAAAAGGAAGATCAGGCCGCAGATTCTTCAGACCTCGTGGAAAAGGAAAAGGAAAGAGACGAGGTAAAGGCCATTTTGCTGATGAGCAACAGACAACATATCCAGAAGAGTACTTTGAAGAGAATCCTTATGAGGATACTTGGGAGTCAAACCAAGTAGCATATGATGCCATTCTTGCCGAGGATATGAATGACTATCTTCAAGGAGAATATGATGATGCCAATGACTTCTGGCAACAGCTTGAAGAAGCATGGTTTTCCCACAAGGGAAAAGGAAAAGGCAAGAGAAAAGGCGAGAAAGGAAAAGGAAAAGATAAAGGAGATGGCAAACAAGATGCAAACTATGCAAATCAACAACAGCCACGTTCTTTACCTGCACCTTCAAGATCTTCACAAGCATCAGGAGGTCAACAAGGTTTCTTTGCACATTGTGTGACAGCAGCAGCTGAAGTCCATGACAGTGAGGTGGACTTGCTGTCAGGCATGATGACCTCATGTCAAGATGAAGCTGACTGCGCGGTCAACAATGGTGAGACGATCTTCAATGGCATGAGTGCCCCTGTGAGGTACTCTTTGTCAAAGGAGATGCTCACAAAGGCTCCTGATGGCTTTGCGCTTATGAGCGCTGAGGAAGAAGTGAAGGAGATGCAGGCCATTTCATTTTTGACTGAGAATCGCTTCCCGCCGACTATTGCAATCCTGGACATTGGATGCACTAGAGCTATGGGATCAAGGCGAGCAGTCGACCATTTTTGCAACTATGTCGACAATCACCCAGATTGTGGATTATGGTACTCTTTTGAGGCTACCAAGAGCAAGTTTTACTTTGCCAATTCCCAGAAGGCTACTTGCTCTCAGAAACTGGTGATTTACATGTATGATCGCGCATGGACGATCCACCATACAGAGTTCGACATAGTGGAAGAAGGAGAAGTCCCTTTGCTTATGAGCTTGCCACAGATGAGGAACTTAGGCTTTGAACTCAGGCTGACACCTCAACATGCTTATCTGACATCGGTGCCTCTTGGTATCAAATATTTGGAGTTGAAGGTTGCAGCCAGTACTCATCTTGTCTTGGACTTCCAAGATATTGCATGGTATCTGTCTGACGTGAATTTGCAGACTCGGCGCGAGAAGAGTTTTTACTCTCACTTCACTCACTATGAATATGGTCATATTTCGGTTGATCACAATAGTGATGAAGATGTAGCTGAACATGCATATCCTGTGGTTGACTACTGGGAAGTAGATGTTCACAAGAGAGAACTGATACGTCACCACAAGGATTATAGAAAGATTCTTTTCCCAGCAACTAAGTCCTGTCCTGTAGACACTGACTTGCTGGAAGACTTGCGACTGACAATCATCAAGAAGAAAGAAGGTGGAAAAGAAATCAAGAAGCAAGATGATTGGCGCAAGGCAAAATGGAAGGACCTACAAATTGGCTATGAATGGCGTGGTAGAACAATTTTTAAGTTCAAGCCAGATGCCAAAATTCCAGATCTAAAGATCAGGAAGGCTGGCACTGAGCACCGTGGCATTGGTGATCCCGATGCAGTGGTGCGCTCCTCCTCAGAGAAGGTTCCCATTGCAAAGGACAGGGAACCAGGCTTCTCATCAGAGAAGGAAGGTGCACCATCCAGTGCCGCGGAAAAGCCCGCGCCGCCAAAGTTTCGGTATACTTCCAAGGGTTTTGATCCATTTTGGAAAGGACACAAGTCGAAACCATCTGAGCCTCAGAATGATTTAAAGGGTGATGATCTTGAGGAGTATGCTCCCTCAGAACCACCTGAGAGGCCAGAAGGTGAACTTGTAGAAATTCCTAAAGCATCAAAAGGACCATCAAGTGATAAACATGAACCACTTGAACCAGGTGATGGCGCTCTTGAGCCTAGGCGGATTTCAATCCCATTACCTGGTAGTGAAGTTGTTGCAATGACACCGGCATATAGGAAGATGTTACAGAGACTGGAGGACAAGGTAGAGCTTTATAAGCTTCATGTGAAGCACTACCATATGAGTCCTACTCAGTTTCGTAGACGTGTTTCTATGTTGAAGCTTCCTGACTCTGTTTTAGAGAAGTATGAATCAGTTGTCAGGAACTGCCGTGTTTGTAACACTTCAGTGGCACCTCCGCCACGAGCCAGAGTCTCCGGTATTAGAGCTTCATGTTTTGGTGATGTTGTTTTTGCTGATCATTGTGAGGTTGAACTTCACAAGAACAAGTATATCATCTTACTTGTTCTTGATGGTGCCACAAATCTTCTCTGGGCTACGGCACAGAAAGACCTCATAGATCAAACCACCATCCAAGCATTGAGGCAATGGTCTGATGAGAACAACTGTGTTCCAAAGGCCATCGTAGGAGACGAAGCCTTTTTCACCGATGCTTTTGTTGAATACTACAGGTTCCATGGTATACAACAATGTCCTTGTGGGCCAAGAACTCCTTGGCCGAACCGAGCAGAGACAGCTGTACGTTTGTTCAAACGTATGTGGCATGTTATGAAGGTAGATCTGGATGACCCACGTTTTCGTGGTGTTACGGTCAGAGAAGTGGTCAAGAAGGTAGTTTGGGCAAGAAATTGTCAGTTGACTATCAGTGGATATTCACCAATAGAGATAGCAACTGGAAGACGTCCACCAGATCTTTTTGACCTTGAGACCGCAAGCCCTGAGCAATTGTCAGCTAATGCCGCCGCACAAGATCGTACAAATTTGGAACTACAACGTGTGGCTTTGAGAGCTCATCAAGAAGCACGACAAGCTCAGGACCTTCGAGCAGATCTTGCAAGAAGGACTATGCCAAGCGACGGTCCTTATTTCCAAGGAGAGAAGGTTTTTGTTTGGACTCAGGATTCATCAAAGTTCAAGGATAAAGGACGTTGGGTTCGTGCCACAGTACTTGGACAAGAAGGAGCTATGGTCCAAGCCAACACTGGTAAGGCAGTAGTACGTGTGAATCAGTCGAAGGTTAGACGTGATCACGATGAGTGGCATGATGTTTCCATTCCGGCATTAGACGATGAGAATCCGGAGAACTTGCGTGAAGATCACGAACTGTATGTTGATGCCGAATTCGGAGAACAGTTCTTTTTCTTC